TCACCCAGTGTATATCCGCATTACCCGATGTCAGTGACTGTCCTCGGCATATAAAAACTGCGCTTAGAATGTCCACGTGCACGTAAAATCATATCAGTCACCCTAGGGAGGAAAGCGAAGAGGGTGTTACGTCTTGTATAGAATGTAGAATCCACGTTCGGCGAAAACTCTAAAGACAAACACTCACTGACCGGCAGTAACTTGATGTCCACAGTTGAAGAAATATTGCGTATAAAAGATTAAGTCTCGTGTTCTCATTAAAATATATCATATCATGAACAAATTATTTTAAGGTAAGTTTCTCTATCGTAACTGGCAAAATGTTTGCGTAAAATTAAATCGTGCACTATTAAAGAAATGATGTTTAATCCACTGATATTATCATGCAGATAGTCTAACTGGACGAAATTTTATCTAATGACTCTCATCGCAGATCAAGTGACAGCAAGTCTTTTCATATTATTCAATGCGTTTGAAAATTTACACAATATGTGGTTATTTCTAGGAAATGAAAAGCAATCCCATCTCCAGTGTCTTTGTAACTGCCAGCCGTAGTATGAACAAAAATAAATGGATCTTCGAATTTGTATAACATTGTCACTACATCCCTTGTGTTATCAAGTGGTATTTAGCGAACTATGTTCGTCGCTTCGCATGGGATCGCATCGGCTGTCTTCAGGTAAATACCCAAAAGTCAAATTCAGCACTCAGATTCAAAAGCTATCTTTTCACTAGGGAGGCGAAATGTTTTTTTTTGTTTGTTTTTTTAATAATAAAAGGTACAACGCTTGGATCTGTGTCAGCTAAATTTATTCTCCGGCAAAAGAACTGTTTCTAATCATTCGTAAGTGACATAGAGGGCATACTGCGTGAAAGAACTCCCCTAATATAGACTCTTCTTCGATCATCACGCTATCATGCCAAACATCTCATTAAAGAACTTTGGAGAGAGAGAAAGAGTGGTACTCTTTTTTATCAGGAAATCTCGACATTTTGCTTGTTGCTGATTAGTCAATTCAGGGAGCAAAGAAAAAAAGTCAACACATTCAGATTCTTTCTACTCTTTTTTGCGAAAATTGTGTCCGTCAAGTGACCCTGTCGGCTTTATCAAACTTTAGAAATGCGATATATTTTCAACTTGTGCGGTTATTTATTAGCTTAGCGACATTATTTCGTTATCAGTAAAGTCAAATTATTCTCCTTTTTTACACCCCACAATGTTATATTTTTTATATAGTTTCAATTTCATTACTTTTGGTACAGTTCCACGTACTCGAATTATTGTAGGAACGGCCATAATTTTTATGTTGCACCGTTTTCACAATTCTCGTGTGTGGTACTAGCATTTTTCAATTATTTAATATCGTAATTAATTTCCCACAGTATATGTTGAACCTGGGGTACGTTTTCCAACACAGCAAAATGCAGTGAAATCTAATTATTAACGAGAGAATTCGATTAATATTCTTATAGAGCCCCTTCAGATTTAGACTTTCATATAGATGCCATGCATGGCGTTCGGCTCGTTCAGATATGTCTGAACTATCTACAGCCTTTATCTGAGATCAATGAACTTCAAGCGAATGCATCTTTTGGGTCTTAATGAAAAAAATTCTTTCCTAGATCTTAGAAAATGGCCCTATAGAATCATAAACAAAGATCTTTGGCAAATAATGAAAATCGCATTTGTTGGAGGGTTCCAACAGTAGCGACAGCAACAATGTGTAGCACATGTAACTAAAAGAGAAAATAATGGTAAAACCAAGATGGCGACTTTTCACTTTAAACAAAAGGATTGGAAAGAAACTCTTATCGTTATTAGAAAGGGCGATAACTCTTACAGGACGTCAGAAGTCTAACGTGCTGAAAAAAAGGAAAAAAAGATTTTTATAAATTTCAACAGTAAGGATAATTATTTCCTTAAAGACTGCCGAATATTTCCGGCTATTTTAACCATTACAATTTGCATTGTTTCGTCATCCTTTTGTTGTCCATTAGCTAATCCATACTTACGATCTGGTAGATACTATTTCCCTTGTTTACCATCTTCAGATCGATCTTTTCCATAGGATGAAATGGTCAGACTGGGTTTTAATATTTTTGAAATGTCTAAGACAACCGCTTGTTTATACTAATACAGCTTTATCTACATCGGCGACCAGAAACTTAGCAACATAAGATATGCGGATGATACAGTGTTGATAGCAGAGGCAGGAGATAGCAAAAGAAAGCGAGTAGAAAGGACTAAACGTCAATTGCAGGAAGCCAGACTGCCTGGTTGTCAGAAATAGGATGCGAATTGCAAACTGGAGTAAAGAAATTTAAATATTTGGGAAGAATTTTAACAAAAGACAGAAAATGCGATACCAAGGTGCATTGGAATAGCGAAAGAAGCCTTCCAGAAGCTAAGAAAAGTATTAAGAAACAGGAAAATTTCGCTAAGAGAAAAGAGAGCATTGAATTATTATACAACATTGGTTTCCCTACATATGAGTGAATGCTAGACAACCTCCTGACAGATGAAGAAATTACTTGAGGCAACAGAAATGTGGTGCTGCAGAAGGATACTGAGAATGCCATGAAATGAACATGTGAGTAACGAGGATGTTTTAGATAAAATTGAATCGAGAAAAGCGTGTATTTAAAATGGGAAAAAGACAATTGAAATTTCTAAGGCATATAATGAGGAAAGGAGGCTTGGAAAATTTGACAGTTGCACGCAAGAGACAGTTGAACAGAAAAAAACGTACCCAAAAAACTTGCGTAACTGGTTGTTAGAACACTGATTAGGATAAATCTTACTAAGAGACGCGAAAGACTGGAAGTTGTGGACAGCCATAATCCTCCACGTCCTAAAAGTATACGGCACATAGAAGAAGAAGCGACAATTCATACCACTGACATCAAGTTTCCACAGTACGCCTTTTTTCTTTTTTTAGTTTCATTGTTTGAATGGGTTAAATGTTTTTCTAAATTCAAAATCATCTAGGTTTTTAAAGGGAAAAAAACCCTGACGAATTTGAATGATTATTTGTAGTAGTATTAGTAGTAATATTTCGTGCTATTATCACGAAATAAAAAGTCATCGTGATCGAGGGTTTAAGCGTTGAACATGTTTAATCACGCCAGTCATTGTACATGCAACTACATCCAGAATCTAAAGCTTCTCTGTAACTTTGCTATAAATATTTTCATGGTAATTATTCTGATAAATTTTCTATTTGACTATATTTTAAATATTCATTGGGGTTTAATTTTTAAACCTATGTAGTCGCATCCCCAACTGCATTTGAAATGGTAAATAAGAAAATTAATATGGTGCGGGGGGGGTAGAACATCTTTACACATAGATGAAAGTACGGACTTAGTTTGAAAAACATTCATTTTATGCAATAATATATATATCATATATATAATAAAAATATATATATGATAAATCCCGGTAGGATTTCTAATTCTTTCAGAATTGCCTCGCTGAACAGATCTGGTGAGAAAAAGCATCCTTGCCTTATGCCTCTTTCTATTTTTGTATATTCAATGAACTCATTCTCTATGCGCATACGTGCTGTTTACTGCCAGTACACATTCTTGTTTATTCTGATATTCCTTTTGAATATATCAAAGTTTTACTGATCCAAATATAACACCAAGACAGCACATTCTTACTTAACATTCTTATTGCAGCCACCATAATACCTCATAGTCTCTATGTAGCCCTAACTACTCCCCATGTGTACAATTTGTCTGTGGGATCATTTTGGCCGCTATGGGATTTGCAGTAAATCACTAAATCATCTGTAACTTTTCTATTATCCTCTCAAATTACACCAAAATCTCAGACAATAACAAATAATATATGTATTGTCTGTCAAAATTTATAGGATATAAAACCACTTTGATAAAAAATTATGCCTACTTTTCTGACGAAAACAATGCCGTTCTAAACATTTTGGCCGCAACTGTATACATATATATATATATATATATATATATATATATATATATATATATATATCAAAAATACTTCTACAAATTTACAAAAGCTCAAAATCCTTATAAACACATGAACCCCCCAAATCCTTCTTTTTTGAGTTATTGAGTTTAAAGAAAGTTTACGGTAGATAGCGCTTTGTTGCATATAGACTAGGTTACATTTGTTATTCGTGTACATTCGTGGCTTGTCTGTTTTCAACGTTTAACGTTAAGTTTACTGAGAAGTGTTCCATTTAACGATGGCAGGATATTCATATCGTGAGCAGTCAGATATGATCTTTACATACGGCCACGCGAATGGCAATGGACGCGAGGCTGCCACGGATTCTGCTTTAGCAACGTGACGATAAACATCAGCAAAGGTTGGATAACTCGGCCGCCTTCGGTCTCAAAACACAATATGAGACAGCCAACATATATTTTCTTAAAATCCTTTTCAGTTAATAGTTAAGAAGGTAATGCGGACATTAAGCAAACACAATTGTGCCTGAGCCAACGTCTGAAATCGAGATTAGATAGCCGTCCCAACGCACTCCGTAGTCCCCCTAGACTAACGGATGGCTACTCCACCTATAGCATAAGTATTTTCAAAGCGTTTATCTCTGGCCATTCTGGTGATCAAGTGATAGCAAATACATTCATTACCCTAACGCTTTTATCCCACCAGTTCTTACAGTTTTCCGGCGAGATCTTTTGGCAGTAAGCATTCCCTAAACTATAGAACTTTGCACACTAACATCGCCATCTTTAACAGCGCAGAGATCATTTTTGTTTCAATTTTTCATACTTGTTTACACAGTCGGACGTTGCTTGCACAAATCCAATTGAAACTCTGCTCCGACCCTGTTGTGTCCATTTGTACATTCTCTTTAGTTAATTTTATTATATGGCTTCGTTTATAGTTTATAGGTTTTTTTTTGCTACATAGGTAAGAATTGTTATGTCTTTATAATTTGTTATAAGCTTGCATCACTTGCGGCAATATATTGTCGAAAATCTTTATTCGAATGTCTTATTTTCCATTACTGTTTTTCTTCCATTTACAGAAAGTTTTCATTCTTTCTCTTGGATGTGGTTTTCTTTCTTTTACATGTTGTTTTCTTAATATTGTGTGTTCTTTCATTTCTTTTCATAATGTTCACTTCTATTATCGCATAGCCTTTCTCTTTTTGGTATTGTTATCTTTTTTGTGCATTGTTTCTCTCTTTTTCACATTGTTTTCTTTCCTTTTTTATATTCTTTTCTTTCTTTTATACACTTTTTTTTCGTTTTGTCATTGCTTTCTTTCATTCATCTTCATATTTTCTTACATTTTCGAGTGACTTTTTTCTTTTTCCTGTAGCTTTCATTCTTTTTAACTTTGTATCTTTTCACACCGTTTTCTTTCTTTTCGACATTATTTTCTTTATTTATTGTTCACATTATTTCCTTTTTGTTCTTTTTCGTTCATCATTCCTTTTTTTTAATATATTTTTCATTACTTTCCTATTTTTATATTCCTTTTTTTTTACATTTTAACAATTTCAAGGTTTTTCTTTTCCTATTTTTATTCTTTCTTTTTGACAAAGTTTACTTTCTTTCTTTCTATATTGATTTTTCACGTAGTTTTATTTCTTTTTGACCTAGCTTTCTTTCATTCATTTTCACATGGGTTTTTCTTTTCATATTGTTGTTTCTTTGTTTCTTTCTTTCTTTGTTTGTTTGTTTCTTTCTTTCTGTACATGATTTCCATTCTTTTCTTTGTTTTTAGTTTTTATTAAAGTCATCGTTTTCTTCTTTCTTTCGAACTTATTAAATATATCAATCTTTTTCTATTTCTTATCTTTACTGTAATTCTCACTCTTTTTCCGCGTATTTTTCTATTTTTACCCCCTTCAACCACCCACCCTACTTAACACCCTTATTTCCTCTTGACGTATCTTCCATTCAAAAAAACAAAACAAAAAAAAAAAAAACGAAAAGAAAAGCAAAAAAATAAAAAAGCGTCAGTCTCGTACACTTTCCGTATTTCAATTGCACGCCATCTTGTCTCCACTTCGTTCGGCTAACAAGAACCAAACCACAATAAATCAGAAGATTGAATGATACATTCATTAACTACGTTTGTTCGAGAAAACCTGATTAATTCGTCAGATAAACATTTTTGTTTCTCAGAAAGAAAAAAAAAATCACTATAGAATTCGAGGGACTTTGAAAATATTGTGTGATGAATTCAGAAAATGCAAAGGATAAAAAAGACGAAAAAAAAGGGATGAAAATATCGTAATTATTAAATACAAGAGACGCTATACTTTGGTCTCAATGCTAAAATTTGGACGGGATTTTCTCAGGCAATGATTATTGGAATGTTTTCTCTTTTTTTTTTTTGTTTTCCTCTTCACCTTTTCTTTTCGTTTCCCTGCATTTTATCATTCGTTCTCTCTCACTTTTTTCTTCCATTTTCCTACTTTTTTTTTCATTCAATTTTTTTTCCGTCGTTCTGATTCTAGTCTAATTTCCATTTGTATTTTATTAAAGTTATCTTACATTCTTGATAATGTTCCTCGCCAGAATCTATCTTACATATTTATAGATCTACCATTCGTCCATGCATTTCTGCTACATCTGGGATTGTGTTTCTGCTAGATATTCTTGACAGAATTTAAAAAAGAATAATCAATGTTATCGGTCCTAACCAGACATCACGGCTTCAGTCATTTTCTCAGTGCTGAAACACAGCCATTCTGTGCCTTTTCCATAAATATTTTGATAGTAATTGTTCTGATGAGTTTTCCTCGTTGGCACCTCGATTTTACGAATTTAAGCGCCGTGCTAGATTGGCTGTTAGGTCTCATAATTTTATAGTTGAAATTGTTAGATGTAACCATAAGTTCTATTCCAACAGTTTCTTTTCTCCTATATCTCGCTTGTGGTACTCTTGTCCAGCTTCTTGCTTTCCTGTAAAGTAGGATGTTCAAAATGTAAATGCAACATCAATCTTATTCATTTATTGTCCTCTCTCCTAAATAACATTTTCTTCGATTCTTCCACAGTCAGTAACACGTTGCACTTTATTGGTTTTACCGGATATTGAAGCATTATAATCAGAACACGCATGCGTAAACGCCGGCACGGAATCTGTAAAAGGAATATAACCAACCATTTAATATTAACAGAAAAATAAAAGCTTCCCTAAAGTAATTACTGTACTTACTGATGCGGCATTCACCCTGGGCGGATTGAGCCGGCTTCTTCCTGTTATGAGAAGAAGATTCTTGGGATAAATTACAGAAGTAGGGTACCCAGGCCTACTCGGATAACGTTCTTGCTTGCCGCGGGGTTCCCACAGACGCAGAGACAGGAACGACCAGAAGCCGCCGGTTACCGATGCAGACGCTCCTTGGATTTTTACCAGAGCCCTTGTTAGCCGGCGTGTGTGTCAGACCTGTCCGCCTTGGGTGGCAACCACTTACGGTCAAATCACGCTGAAAACACCGGTTCTCGTTCGATCACTGAAGTTAAGCATCGTAGAGCCAGGTCAGTACTTAGATGGGGGACCGCTTGGGAACACCTGGTACCAACCCTTACCTCTCAGTCGGTGGGGGGGGGGGTAAACGGTAGTGTCAGAGCTATGCCGCCCGGAACTTCGTTCCTAAAGTAATTACAACTTTATTATTTTCAATATATCTTTCTTGTTATCTCACACACATATCCTAACGCCCATTCCAATTTTATATTATACGATATTCATTTTCGGGATCTCCATAAATCAAAACACTAACCTAAAAATTCGAGTAATCTTCTTAAATTGCCTCTTTACATCTAATCTTTCATATGGATGTCATGCATGGCGCTAAACCTGTTCAGAAATATCTAAACTGTCAGTTGTATATAGCCACTTTCTTAGATTAACGGGTAAAATAGATCTGAGCGATTTGTGGATCCTGGCGAAGATCATCCTTCTTCGAACCTTGTAGACTACATAACCACAAACAAAGAACTTTACCAAATAAGACAAAACACATCACTTGAGGACTTTAAGCAGCATCAACAACAAAAATCGATATCACGTATGACTCGAGAAAAAATGTCATAGTTAAAATGTTCATGTTACGCACTACTTCAAATAAAAGATCAGGAAGGAAATCCTCATCATTACTGGAAAGAGCGATAACAGCTACTGGAATAAGAAACCTATTTTCCTGACAAATTGTTTTACGAGAAAGGCTTTATAAATTTCAACCACTGCTCGGACAATGAATGCCGAATATTTCCTTCTAAAGAAACAGCTAATATTACTATTGCCATTAGAGATGACAAGAACAGATACTACACTTTGATCCTAGCACGATGGCCAAGGAGTGAAGAAAAGCGTAACGAGTAGCAGTGGCTGCTCGGTCAATGAATGCCGAATGTTTCCTTATAAGAAACGGCTAATATTACCATTACCATTACAGTTACCGTCAGCTGTGTTGCCGCATTTACATTAATCTTATGATTTAAATGGTGATTTTAGCGTTGAGAACTGCCAAAGGTCGTCGCAAAAGAAATGTAGATCGTAGCTGGGTAGATATGGATTATGCGTTGCTAGTTAGGAAAACTAAGAATCTAAGAATCCTAAGAATCTCAATTGTAGGTCCTTGTAAGTTCAATGATCACATACCCTAGGTCCCTGTACATTCAATGATCATATATATATAAATTCACTCAAAAAAATGTAATTGCTCATATAGTCCGTCTGAAGTTCTTATCCAAATCACATAAGCCTCAATAACTCGAATTTGCTTAGAACAATTTTTGTCAAATCTTAAACAACTGATATAGTCGTCAAAACAAAACTTAAGTTAAATTTTTAAGTAGTTTAAACATGGTTGAGTCTGGGCAGGCGTCTACAAAAGCCATCACAACACATTCCATAGTTTTCTAAGACTGACGGATGGCTACCATTCCTATAATACAGGGTGTGGTAGAATTATATTTCCAGAAATACTTTCCACACAATGGTAAGATATTAGAAGCAATGATGTTTTCATATAAATAATGTCTTACATTATGTGGGATGGATTTCTGGGAGATATATGTGGAAGGTGCTTCTGTCGCACACTGTATAAACATTTACAAAGAACTACCTAAAAATTAGACATAATCTTTGCTTTGATGTCAAAATTAATCGTTTAAAACTTGATAAAAATTGTTCAAAACAAATTGGAGGCTTATGTACATTGTATGGTAACTTTAGGCGGACTGTAGCTTAAACATAGCGGAGAATGTATATTCACGAATAATTTTGTTTTTTATTAGGGCTTCGAGGAAATAAGTAAAAAACTATGAATTTTGTATTTTCTTCAGTATTGGTGTACAGATTTGCATCCAGGAAATCCTATAAAAATCTGAAAAATGGACAAACCGGTGGAGCAAGCATGGAAGAATTGGTAAATCTATATATAAAATTCTGTGGCAACCGTTTGTCGTCCGTCTTTCGCACCCTATAAAACAGCCATACATTGACCGCTCGAAATAAAATTTTGAGAAGGTCAAACAGGTAAGGTGGCCCAAATTACAATTAGTTTTACCAGGGTTTCTAGCTTAGTACATTAAAATGCATTAAATTTTTAAACTTAAATTAAAATTTTTATTATTTAACATGTAAAATACTCCCACTAATTAAAAAAAAAATGATTAAAATAACAAATAGTTATTTAATAAAAATGTAATGTTGTTTTTTTGCATAACTTTTCTGTGAGTTTTATATATACAAGAATTAAGCTTCCAGTTGACCTTGCATTTTCCAGAACTATAAACAAATGACAAAGCTAAAGGTTTAAAAAACATTTGGAATTTAGCTCCAGGAAGGAATATTTTCGCATGGCCAGTTGTATATTGCATCCTCAGGTGTAAGAAATCCTAAGAATTCTTTGCTGTTATTAGGTTGGTGCAAAAATAATGTCGTTTTTTGACGTTCAAATTTAAAAGAGAAAACGATATTATTTTTGCACCAACATAATAAAAAGGAAAAGGGAAAAAAGAAATTTTCTTAAGAAATATTATTTACATTGAAGTCCAATAAAATTAAATTAAAGTAATTATTAAACCGCTAAGTAGTTTTTTTTTTCAAAGTATATTTCTAAACAAATCAGCTTATTCAAATTTCATCGATTTCTCGTAATACAAAACTCACCATTTTCAGAGACCAAATCATTTCCCTGATTTTTTCAATGTTTGACTTTGTGCTGTTACACAAGAATAAAATACATTTTCCTGACTCAACAGGAAATATGAAATTTAAAGATTTCTGTAGCGATTCTTATTGAAACAATAAATATAACTTTTTCTTAAAATTATTTACTACATTGCTAGATCTACTGCTAGAAAAGTTGGTTGCGACAGACAAATTTTTCTCGACAGAAACTGTCTTACACATTTATAATTCTACCATTCGTCCATATATTGCTGTTACATGGTCTGGTGTTTCTACTATTTATTTAGTAATTCTTGATAAAAGACAAAGAAGGATCTATAATATTGTTAGTCATGAGCTGACAACTCGGCTTCAGTCACTTTCCTACCACTGTGATACATCTTACCTCGGCGTGGTGTAATGGTTAGCAAGCTTGTCTCGCAAAATCTATTACGACTGAATAGTGAGTTCAATCTTCACTGGGTGCTCCACACTTTCGGCCTTGTGCTACATTTAAGATATGCTTAGAAAATCATTTTAGACAGTCGACACGCAGTCTCTGACTGTGTGCGACTTTTGTCGGACTCTCTGCTTTGGCAGAGTTGAACCCGGGTGAAACTTTGCTCTTCGGCAAAGGTTCGTCCGGGGAGGTCGACAGATCCCGAACCCGCTTATGCGGGTTCTAAGGGAATATTTTTGGCCGAGCCTACGGGCTCGGAGAAACCCACGTTAAACTTGTCCTTGTGCCACACACATTCCTCGTGGGTGTGGGGGCTGTTAAATATCGACATAGCTTACCTGTCCATTTTTCTATAAACACTTTTATGGTAATTGTTCTGATGAATTTTCCGCTTTGGTACCTAGACTCCATAAATTTGGCGGAAAAATCTCATTATTTTACAGTAGAAGTGGCTAGATGTTGACATGAGTTCTATGTTAACAGTTTAGTCCCTCGCACTTCTCACTTGTGGAACTCTCTTCTGGTTTATTGGTTTGCAGAAAAGTTTGATCTTCAAAAATTGAAATGCATTGTCAATCGTTATCTTCTGTCTTCTTAATTCCTGTTCTTTTATGGTTCTCTTTCCTTAATAATGTTTCTCTTTTTTTCTTATTCTCTCATTCTAAGTAACTCCTTGCGAAGAATTTGTGGACATATGATTAAAATGGCATTTTGTCCTTGTTTTGCTGTGGGAAACCCAGCGCCAAAGTGTGTAGAAACATTTTTGTGACACTCTGTATATATGGGAAAACGATATATAAATTTTTATATGAAGTTTTATATGAAACCAGTTTTGAAAGAAAAGATGTCTGACAAATCGGAAAAAAAGGTTTGTGCTGGGTTTTATCTGTTAGGACTTCATCGGGCTGGCTTGTTTACACATGCGCACGAACGAGAGACGCTACGAGTTTTAAATTTAGAAATAATTTTTTTTTGGATTCAATCTAGCCAGTTTCAGCTAGATTCTATTTCCTTTCGTATCCATCATCTTTATTAAATATCCCACATTGTAATAACAGAATATCTGCTAAGAATGATGAAACATTGTAATAAACCTGGACACAAAGTGACTGTGGATGAAATAACGATTAAAACACTTTCGAAATATTTTCTTCTTAGCGAATTATTTTCTCTTTTAATTAGAGTAGCATTTTTATGCCAAAATTGTGGTCAGTCTCGTTACGGTGAACAAGCAATGCGTCCTTTGTGTTGTTTTTTTACATGTCTCTTTTATGTTCATATAATCTATTATTTAAACTTCTTGAGGTTTCTACAATATATTTTTCGTGGCAGGTGGTAGGGTAAATTCTCCCTTTAAATTTTGGCTTGTTTTGATTTTCATTGTCTTTTATTGTTTCAGTTGTGATAAATTTTATATAAAGCTTAGGGGAATTCTTTTCGATTGTAGTTGTGATAGAGTTGTGATAGAGTTAGTGGGTTTTGTTTGATTGATTTGTTTTTTTTACGGTTTATCAACCTTTTTGAGGTTATTTAAAGCCGAAACATGTTTTTGAGTTGTTAGAAATAATGATTTTCTGATGCAAGTATTATTATTTAACCCATAGCTGGGAGGCGAGGAGGGGGATCCGTACCTTTCAAGAGGAAGTATAACGAACGACTTGAATTCGAACTCGATTCTCCGAGTTCTCTTTCCGAGCCTTTATCCATTAAACTAATCATACATCCAAGCTTACAGCACAGGATATTTGTTCGCGGTCACCCATCTAGGTACTGTCAAGGTTCAACGTTGCTTAACTTCGGTGATCGTATGAGAACCGGTATTTCAACGTGATATAGCCGTGAGCTACAGTTAGTGGGTAGAACACTCTGCTATTGGCTCATAAAGTCAGTTTTGCTTTTGCAACCTCTCTTACACATATGGCAAGCATAAATATATATATATATATATATATATATATATATATATATATATATATATATATATATATATATATATATATATATATATATATATATATATATATATATATATGTTTGGACAAATATGTTAGCTCTATCTCTGATATTGAGCGCTTTCTAATAAGTATCGCGCATATAATATATAAATGATTATATAGTTGTATATTTAGGAGGCAATCCTTCCTTTATGCATGTTTCATTAAAAATGACAGACGTCTTACGTTACACCTATCTGATCACAGTTCCATCAGAACACATTTAAACACACACTCAGATTTACCCGACACTATTAGGAACATACTAGTAGAAAACACAAATATATTAACTGCATCCACTTGCAAAAAAAGACTAAAAATAATGGAAGCTCTAATAATAAAAAAGAAAAAACAAACTATGAACAAAGCCATAATGTGCTAACCGTATTCGGAAATTAAAAACATCACTACCACACACTGAACATACACAGAACGCACACACTCTACTAAGCTGATAATCGAATCATCCTTGATAATGGCTAAAGATATAGCCGAAAGCGCTCGGAAATATAGAACATTCGGACAGTTCTTACACACACTTTGTGCAGAAAAGAAAGCTCTTGTCAGAACACAAGAAAAATTAAATAAAAAGCTCAATCGTAGTACCTTGTCTGTCGTTTTTAATGAAACATGCACAAATGATTATATATATATATATATATATATTAATTCGTGGGTTTTGTCGGAGGTGCGCTTTTCTAATTAGCAATATTTTGTGAGCCTATTGTTTCGCACTCAGTATAAAATAGGAGGCGGAAAGGTCTTGAATGTATTTTCAATATATTTCTTCTCTTCGTGCAAAGATATATATTTCAATAATTTGTACCGATTTTAAATGTGAATTAAGTTTAAGCGTCTAATGGTATTTTTTCTTTTTATTTCAGATTTAACAATTAAGTCTGGCAATTTCAAGGTATTAACTTTGTCCTGTAAAAGCCATGTATCCATCAGTTCCTAAGCTAACCTTTGAAATCAACAAGTTGACTCAAAACTTTTAGTCTATAGTGCACGTGTAGTCAAATAGAGATATATAGGTAAGCACACATTAATACATTTTCGCACTTGCAACACTTCTTCGTTTAAATATATTTTATTAAATAGAACGGACAAAGAAGGTTTTTTTTTTTTTTCTTAAGCGTTTCATCCCAAACAAGGCTGGAAGCCACTAGGACGCAAGGGGTTAAAGAAAATTTGGAGCAAGATCAGATAAGAGTGATAGAAGAAAGGATGAGGAGAAGGGTAGTGTATCGATCAACGCAACTGGAGATATCGATTGACATTACATTTGGAGAGCTGGAGATTATAGCTCTCAGGGAAACTGGAATAGGGAAGGGAGTTCCACAGGCGAGAGGTGCGAGACATGAAGCTATTGGAGTAGAAGAGACGGCTACATTTAGGAGTTTCGACAGTGAGAGCGGGACGCCAGCCTCGTAGGGCGCTTGAACTCATGAAGTCTGGGAACCAGCAAATGCAGCTCCTAGGAGCAATTACCATGAAAGTATTTGTAAAACAGACAGAGAGAGGCGACGGCGCATCTGTGAGAAAGTGACTGTAGACGAGATGCCAGATCAGGGCCAATTATATTGCATATCCGCCTCTGGAGCTTATCAAGAACCCCGAGGCAAACAGAAGGGGCTCCAGACCATATATGGCAGCAATACAGCCAGTGGCATAATCACACACCGGACCGTCAGCAACATAAATGTACCATTGGCCACCTAAAATCGCTTCTTTTCTTCATAGCCCTGGTTATACCGATAAACTACACTCGGCAATAATGCCCATGATCGGGAGATTAGATGTTTTGAGGAGCGTGGAACCACCTCTTAATTGTCGTTGTCCCAAGGTTCACCCTGACCCGGGGTGGTAGCACCTGTTAGGGTCCCAGCTACGGGAACATAGTGAACCCCATAAAACACTATGAAAGTATAAAAATACACTTTTATAATAAAAATACCATCAATAAATTTTTATGTAAAAAATTACCAACAATACATTTTGTAGCAAAATGACCAACACTACTTACTTTCTGCAATTGAAGGCACACAAATGCGTTCAAATTACATTTAGCTGAGCAATAAAATTCTGTTTAAAATATATGGATTTTGGCATTAAATTGAGGTTGATATGCTGCCAAAAATCAACCAACTAACATGAAAGAACTCTTTCCTGACATTAATCCATATAATATCCGACAATTTCGTAAATCAAGCTGTATTTTAAAATGTAATTTCAACAAAACTACACATTTCACTGCCTCTAGTAATTATATCCACACAAAGAAAGCAGAATGACATCTATCATATTTTTATTACTTCAAAGCCCACGAGAAAATTAAATTTCGGCATTAAATGACCCATAAGGCGTTGATATGCCGTTAAACAGACAAATCAATCCTTCATTCTTTCCTTCAAAATGATTAACGGCGGTCGAAAGTAATCAGAATTTTAATGCAAAAACTCCGTTACCATTTTCCATCTGGCATCAAATAAGTTATTCAACACCAAGAAAACTCCCTAAAATGCTTAATCGATATAAATTGACCATTCTATGTCTTAATTAATAAACTATATTTACACGAAGGACTGCTACGCAAATATCGCATACTTATAGCGATTTACTAAGCATAGATTAGTTGTGATACAAGTTGGGTGGAGCAGCTAGTGACGATCGAACTGACTCGTAATTAATCTAACGAGACAAGCTTGCTAAGCACTATACCATGTTCTTTATCCTATACAACTAAATAAAGGGATAGTTTCAAAAAAGTGCGGGGAGGTTCGTATAAAAGGGCAAAATGAAAGAAAGTGGGAAGTGATATAAACGTATCCGTGGTGATATTGAACGACACTCAGTAGGTTATGGGTGTGTGACTGGTTGACCCAAGCCTTGTGCGTTAAATTGGATGGCTGTAACTGTGTTCGGAAGCAGCGTAGTAGTCTTGTTCCAGTTATTGATCAGGCCAAATGATGCACTTTATCCGCTGTAACGACGGTCGACTGCGCATAGTTACAGCATAAACCATAAGTTGGCTCTGTGGGTGTGAAACAAAAATAATTTTGCAACTGGGAGAAGCTAACCACAATACTAGACGGCTGTGCTAAGAAATGAATATCTAGCACACAGGCAGGTACTCTCACATACACACTCAAAACACACACACACACACACACACACACACACACACACACACACATATATATATAAATATAAAGAGAGAAAAAGCAAAAATATATATATATATATATACACTGGTAAAACAGACGACTCACGGTCACACACACGTACACAGAAAGCGTGTGTATGCGTGTGTGGTGGGTATGTATATATGTATGTGCATAACATATAATACGTATGCTGATTCCTTATTATAAGACAGTATGTATATATGGGGAGAGAATACACATATGCGGGCTAACAGGAACACGCACGCATATACAGATAGGAAGACATCTCTCATCAACACATCTATCACCACCACCTGTCATACCAAACCCAATGGTTTTAATAGCACTAATGCAGGAATTCACTTTTGCCAACACTCCATAAGGGAGTCCATGGCTCACTAACAAATACAGAAAACGAACAATGAGACATTAAATAATATAAGGAAATTTATTCCTTTACAAATTGATTCCCTTAATTTGCCTGAAGAAGATCACGAGACTGGAAACACGTGTAGCAGAACTATAACGAATAAAATATGATATATATACTAAAACAAATCCACATTATAACCAAAAATGTTTGCGGTTTTTCTCTTTTTTAAAATATATATTTTTCTCTCGTTGGAACAACTATAACCGTTTCCATATATATATATATATATATATATATATATATATATATATATATATATATAAGCATACATATGAAATACAATTTACCAATGTTTATAAATAAATCGCGGATGTACGGGTGGTGTAATGGATAGCGTGTCTGAATGATGAACTCAAATTACAGTTACCCTCGGTACACTCACTCACTCGCAAATATGCACGGCAAAGGCATGAAACCATCTTCTCCCTCAGCTATGGTTTAAATATCAGCAATTTTATATGGAATATTCATTGTTGTTCGCAAAAAAAAATATATATATATATGCAATATTCTTTACAATCAAAAATATTTTCACCTTTAAAATTTATAGGAATAGACATGTGTGCCTATAACCTGATTTAGACACCTCCCCGGTCTTTTGAACAGGAGGAGAGGTTTATCCTTTTTTGCTTGTTTAGGAGAGGATTTTCTCATCTTTTTTGCACCCATTAGCACCTTGGTTTGTGGTGGCATACTCGCCTTGCTTGGGGTGAAATGATAAAATAAAACAATAAAAAAACGGATCGATCAACCATTTTAAAGCGTGAGTCTCTCTCTATTGATTTATGTTAATATTTTATTACCATGAAAAATATGAAAAAAAATGAACGCAAATTCGGGCGATTTTATTTCATGTGTTCAAAATAAAACAAGAAGCAACAATAGCCGCTTTCAATATTAAACGAAGATTTGATCAGGGGCTGTGTCAATGTTGTTTCCAAAATTGTCCTAATCGAGGCGAGAACCTTGATATATATGAAATGTTGCGTATGTTTTTCTACTGACGAAAATTAATTGAAGGCCATTATTGAAGCGAACTCAGGCATAATTAACGGGGTAGTTGCAAGAGAACTAAACATCGACTATTCAACAACTTCATTTGCATCAAACTGGAAAATCAAAAAAAAGTTCGACAAATGATTTTGACATGAATGGAATAAACCAACCAACCAAACAAACAAACAAAAAACTAACATTGTGGTTATGAAACTTCTTCACATCTTTCTCGAAAAAAAATGAGAAATTTCTTGATCACACTATGACATATAAGTAAAAATGGATTCTGTTCGACAACCGGTGATGTTTCCTTTCACAGTGCATGAACCGAGATGAAGTATTAAAATCCTTTCCCAAACCAAACCTGCATCTAAAGATGGTTATGGTCGCTGTCGTCTTATGGAATCATCCATTATGGCTTATTAAATCCTGTCGCAAACATCACAGGGGAGGAAACTGCCAGAAAATCGATAAAATGAAACAAGAATTACCACGTTGACGCCCAACGAGAAGGTCCTATTCTTCTCCATGACAACACTCGACCGCATGTCTCGCAAATTACTCCGAAGATATTGAACAAACTCGGTTACGTAACTACACTACCCGACTTACACACCAAACCACTCCCTAACTGACAACCAATTTTTCATGCACATCGAAAATTCCCGGCTAGAGGTGGTCTACAATAACTGAGCCGGACCCAGAAATACTTTTCAAGAATTTATCAGTTACAGGAGTACGTGAATAAATACATTTGTTATTTGTTTACAATAACGGATTTTTTCAGTTAATATATTTTAATCAAAATTGAGATTTATTGCTTAAAATTTGATGACACTAAATTATGCACACATATATTTCCGTGTATATATCAAAAATATATAAAAAAAAGATATTGTTGAAAATATTTGGAGAACATATCTATTATACTTTTAAAGCAATTTATTTTGTTCAAGGAATCTTTTCCGTTTTTTTCGTATGAATATTTCATACTAAAATCCAAGTTTGCTGCCAGCGTAAAATATATATTAAATTTATCTATCTATCTGATAAACTATATTCATATCTATCTATCTATCTATCTATCTATCTATCTATCTATCTATCTATCTATCTATCTATCTCATTCTCTTCAGCTCCGTCTCTATCTATCTGCTTAAGTCGGTTCCTATCTATCTATCTATCTATCTATCTATCTATCTATCTATCTATCTATCTCATTTTCTTTGTCTCTCTCTGTCTCTCTCTCTCTGTGTGTTTAAGTCGGTTCCTATCTATCTATCTATCTATCTATCTATCTAGCTAGCTAGCTAGCTAGCTAGCTAGCTCATTTTCTTCGTCTCTCTCTCTCTCTCTCTCTCTCTCTCGGTTTAAGTCGGTTTCTATCTATCTATCTATCTATCTATCTATCTATCTATCTATCTGCTGTCTCCATATCTGTATATACATCTACTTAGCTATCTGTTTGTTTCTTTAGTAGAAGGAGTGGACACCGTGGTTTAAGATCTCTACAAATGACAGCTCACCACTTGTTGAATCGATAACACGTAGATTTTCTCCCATTCACCACTCTAGATGAGGACCGAAACCATACAAGGCGCCTCCTACATAACATTTGGCGCGTTAGAGCGAACGCTCGTCCACCCCACTCAAATATTTATAACTTTAAACGTGTTTTTTTGTGGATACCCATGTTTGTGTAGACGCGATGTTTATTATTTGGCAGTACACCCTCGTTACCAAAAAGCGAAATAAAGCAGAGAAGAATAAAAAAGGAAATAAAAAAAAAGTATCTGCCTATATTTCTGAGATGAAGTATTATGTACACTATTTATATTATTCGGACTATTGCCGTCATCTTTGTCGCCATATTTATTAATAAATATGGCGACAACGATGAGGACAATAGTCCGAATAATGTAAATCGTGTAAATAAATGACCAGGCAGGACACCTATTAAGCATGTTGAAAATATTTTTTTCTCTAATGATTCTTTGCTCTTCGTGGCGTAATCGGTTATCTAACGACAGTTTCTTCTGCAAAGGGGAACATAGGCTCGAATCCTGCCTGAGAGCGTATTTTTGATTTAATAAAATTTCTCGAATATTCATGCCAGCAGACGATTGATTTACAACATCCAAACAAAGTATATGAATATGTCTCGACCAGTTGGATGTGGAAAATATTTATGTTTGTGCTCACATTTCGCTATGATTATGCGAGATCTAACAAAGCAAAAATGATTAAATATAAATAAAAGTCCTCACCTGACGATTGCATTTTGCATAAAGCTCAGATCTGTGATAGTGATGAGGAACGAAATGTATACTTATTAGTATTATAAACGTTATAAATTCAATGTGTGATACTTCATATATATATATATATATATATATATATATATATATATATATATATATATATATGTACATGTATATATATATATGTATATATGTGTGTGTGTGTGTGTGTTTGAGTGTGTATGTATAATTTTTCTATATATATTTTAAGTATTTTTATATACTTTATTTTTTTAATTTTTTATTCTATTTAATTTTATTTTTATTTTATTGATGCCAAATATTATCATAAAAATGATAATAATAATAATAATAATTATTATTATTATTATTATTATTATCATTATTATTATTTTGAAATTGTGATGATTATAAGGCGATGATGATCGTTTCGCTGTTGAAAATGACATGAATATCAGACAATTCAATGTATCTCTTTTACATCTGATCACTCCCTTTCTTTACACTTTGTTCAGTCCTTAAAGAAAAAAATAATTTCTAGTTCAACCTATCGGTTCATGTTTAATTCTTTCTTCCTTCGTTATTTTTTTTTTATTTCCCTCCATCTCTCACTCTCTCTTTTACCCTCCCTTCTCCTATCTTGCCCTCTCTTTCTACCCCCCCCCAATATTTAAAAAAAATCTTATATTGAAATTTTTATTTTTCTTTCTTCCTCTTTTAATTTAATTTTTTTCTTTGTCTTTTTTCTTTTCTACTCTTCCTTTTCGTTTCGTCTGGATAAATTGACTTCATTTATTTAAAAAAAAAACAACTTCGGTCTGAAGAGATGAATATTTGTATATCTATGAAATAAATTATAAACGAATGGATTTTTAAGGATCGTCTGTACTCTCTCTCTCTCTCTCTCTCTATATATATATATATATATATATATATATAAAATATGAAATGAACAAAGTCCGACAATTATTTTAAGACATTTTTATACATTTTTTTTATAGATACAACTATTTAAGTAAATGTTCTGTTTTATAATAAACAGTATTAAGCAACATTTACCGGCCTGAATGTCCGAGAAATTTTCACAGAAAATATTCGACCTCCGACAGGAATCGAACCTGTATTGTATACAGAACCGTCATATAGCCTGACGTGCTTTAACCGATTTGGCCACAGAGAAGCGTTCGGTTAGCAAGGTCGAATTTACTGCTTTTAAACTACAATCTTCCATTCATATCTGCTCATGGTGTATCCATATTCTCGGACATTCAGGCCGGTAAATGTGGTTTAATACTGTTTATTAGAAACAGAGCATTTACTCAAATATTTGTATCTATAAAAGAAAAAGAATGTATAAACAGAAAAATATCTTTTATATATATATATATATATATATATATATATATATATATGCCAGTTCCATATCACACCACTGACAAAGTATTTAATAATTGTGTAAAAACTGTCAAAATGTTCTGTATATTTTCGCCTATTCACTTTCCGATCATCAAGGATGTATCAAGTGTATCTATAGTGATAATTACTCTGTTTACCTTTCGGATAAGAACATATAGCTAGCACATATGAAATTTCGAGCAGTATAGACTATGGAGAAAATTTGAATGAGTGATTGCAATGTTAAGTTCTCCGTGGCTGAGCTCTTTAAAGCACGCTGTATCAGACGGTGATCCATCGTGCAAAAGGTGACGCAGGTTCGAATCTATTCGGAAAGTATATTTATTTTATTGTTTTCTCGAGTGCACTGGCCAATAGACAAAATCAGCCCCGATAAAGAAAAAGACGGTGCCGATATTCAAATACGAATATTCACTAGAAATAACGTTTGAAGTAATAAAATATGTTTTATTAAAGTCTATATAAATCCTTAATTCGATATATATATATATATATATATTTAAAATTCTGGTCGAAAACTAAAATTCTATGTAACGCAAATTACTGGAAAAAAAAACATCTCGCTATAAGAGAGGTCTTTTATATCAAACATCTCTCTCCCACTTTCAACCGCACCTTGTTTAACAATGGTAGCCACATGTTGAACGTTTGTTTTTTGTTTTTTTTAAATAGAAAGATGCTCACTCGAATTCCAGCTGTGCTTAACACTCAAAGGTTTGGAATAAACTATCCTACAGGTGTTCATAACCACACAAAAATATGTCTCAAAGAGTCAAAACATGAAACGAAACTAACAACACCCCAAAAAAAAACAGTTTGAAAATGGCTAACAAAGAGGACGACAACTCACGGGCCAGTATAGACATTTTTTGTATTTTCCCACGAAACGGAAAAATGTAACAACAATGGAAAAATTAAATAAAATACAATATATATATATATATATATATATATATATATATATATATATATTTTATATATATATATACTATATTTTATATATATATATATATATATATATATATATATATATATATATATATAAAATATATATATATATATATATATATAAAATATAGTATATATAGTATAGTATATATATATATATATATATATATATATAAAATATATATATATATATATACTATATTTTTATATATATATATATATACATATATATTATATATATATATATTATATATATATATATTTTATATATATATATATATAATATATTCTATATATATACTATATTTTATATATATATATACTATATTTTATATATATATATACTATATTATATATATATATATATATAAATATATATATATATATATATATATATATATATATATATATATATATATATATACTATATTTTTTATATATATATATATATATATATATATATGCTCCTGAAAATTTTATTTGGTTGAGCTCTCTGGGGAGGAAGTGTGGGCTTGTAAAAAAGCAGTAACTATTACAGCTAATAATGCAAGACCCTTCGTTAAATCTCAGTCACTGTGTATTTATCTAAAAATAAATACGCTGAAATTCACCTTCATCCTAGCCGTGCCTCAACGGATTAGTGGTAGAATCTCCGACTGATGCTAATTCAGTCGGTTTTCGATCCTAGCTACAGACAACCGGACGTCTAGCCACATCGATGAGCTGTGATACGGCGTAACAGTCAGTCTGTCTGTGGATGACAATATATATATTAAGACATTTTTATGTTTATACGTTCCTTTTTATAGTTACAAACATTTAAGTAAATGCACTGTTTATAATAAAGAGTATTAACAACAATTTAAATATTTGTATCTATAAAAGAACGTATAAACATAAAAAATGTCATAAAATAAATGTCGGACTTTGTCCATTTCATAAATATATATATATATATGTGTGTGTGTGTGTGTGTGTGTGTGTAAATTGAAAAACTAAATAATATTGGCCCATGCAACTATATATATATATATATATATATATATATATATATATATATATATATATCTTATTATTACTTCAAACCTTATTTTTAGTGGATATTTTAACAGACACCAAGTTTTTTTAAGTAGTGTGTATTACACCTACCGGTCTGTGAACTCGACAAAAAATTAATAAAGAAAATCTCTGTATGGGTTCGAACCTTTATCCCCATACGTATATATGTGATAATGGAAACAAGCTTCTTTTATTCACATAAACACAAAATATGAATATCAATTCTAAATCTAAATATATATAAATATATGTATGTTTGGGTGGATGTGTCTTGCGTAATTTGCTTTGTGACAATGCGATGAATGTAGAGATATTCTCGTCGCTTAAATAAATAAATAAATAACTGAAAAAAATTTCCCATCCAATCTACCTCGACGGAATCGGCTAAATTCTAAGCCAAACTAGTCAAAGACAGAAAGAGTTACTCAAAATAAGCCAGTGACTCAACGGCTTAGTGGCCCCACCAAATCAGCCGTTCTGATCTCAGGGGTCGGGGGTTTTTACGCCCACCATTCGCTGGAATCGAAGATGAGATTTCCGAAGAAATAGATTAGAAACAGATTGTTCCTTTGCCTCACAGCGATGACCAACAACTCTAAGATTTCTTGGCGCTGTTATGGCTGCGGAAGGAAAACGAAGTCGAGAGGCGGGAAGGTTTCTCCAATCAAGACTTTCATTTCTCATGGGGACGCCGGGATAATCTGTTGGATATAGGCTTTCCGCATGGAAACAAAGGAATATATAAATTCATTTGTTATTTCGGGAGATCGAAAGGCGGGAGCGTGCGTAAATTCGACTCGTTATTAATAGACGTTAATAAAATCGCGCGCAGAACGGGAGTCAGGCACACAGACAGATGTAAATTACATACGTACACTTAACCAAATGCAGGCACACATGACTGGTCATAAACATATTGCCCAGAGTAACGTAAATATCTATCTGTCTATCTCATATTTATTTTCACAATAGACAGATGCAAATTAAACACGCACAAATTAAACATATACAAATGTATACATATAATGCCAATAGTTAGACATATTTTTATCTATCTATCTATCTATCTATCTATCTATCTATCTATCTATCTATCTATCACAGCCTTTTCATATCTATCTATCTATCTCATCATTTTCTATCTCTCAAACTTTTATTATCTATCTATCTATCTATCTATCTATCTATCTATCTATATAATCATTTTCTAGCTCTCAAACTTTTATGTATCTATCTATCTATCTATCTATCTATCTACCTATCTCAGCATTTTCTAGCTCTCAAACTGTTATCATCATCTATCTATCTATCTATCTATCTATCTATCTATCTATCTATCTATCTATCTATCACAGCCTTTTTATCTATCTATCTATCTATCTATCTATCTATCTATCTATCTATCTATCTAGCTCAGCATTTTCTAGCTCTCAAACTTTTATCATCTATCTATCTATCTATCTATCTATCTATCTATCTATCTATCTATCTATCTATCACAGCCTTTTCATATCTATCTATCTATCTATCTATCTATCTATCTATCTATCTCAGCATTTTCTAGCTCTCAAACTGTTATCATCTATCTATCTATCTATCTATCTATCTATCTATCTATCTATCTATCTATCACAGCCTTTATCTATCTATCTATCTATCTATCTAGCTCAGCATTTTCTAGCTCTCAAACTTTTGTCATCTATCTATCTATCTATCTATCTATCTATCTATCTATCTATCTATCTATCACAGCCTTTTCATATCTATCTATCTCATCATTTTCTATCTCTCAAACTTTTATTATCTATCTATCTATCTATCTATCTATCTATCTATCTATCTATCTCAGCATTTTCTAGCTCTCAAACCTTTATTATCTATCTATCTATCTATCTATCTATCTATCTAGCTCAGCATTTTCTAGCTCTCAAACTGTTATTATCTATCTATCTATCTATCTATCTATCTATCTATCTATCTATCTATCTATTCATCTATCTATCTAGCTCAGCATTTTCTAGCTCTCAAACTTTTTATCATCTATCTATCTATCTATCTATCTATCTATCTATCTATCTATCTATCTATCTATCTATCTATCTATCACAGCCTTTTC